GCAAACTCAGGCACCTTTAAAGGGCCGCTCACAGGCTGGACGAGCAGACGGTCCGTGTGCAGTTTCACAGCAGCAGGGATGATCGGGTTCTTAATGGCAGCAATTTCTTCAGGCCTGAGTAGATTCGGGCCATGGCAATCTACTTTCTTACCCGTGAACGTAGGTCGTTCCACATCCGTCTCGTTGCAGTACTTTGAAGGATCCTCGAGGTCCTTCGTGGACACCACGATGCGGAGGGGCGCCCAGCCGTTCGACACCGCCGCAGTGTACGCCTGGATCCCGCTCTGGCCCTTCTGCGGCACCTCCGCCACAACATCCACCAGGCTTGCGCCGCCCAGCCTCACAACAGTATCATACCCGCAGCTAGCGTGTGCAGAGGCGAGACACGCACCGGCACAGCACAGCAGCACCACAATGAGCGGCAGTTTCGCATCGCGGGACTCACGGATCATTCCTTGGTTGTGTGGTAGAGAGATGGATGTTAGCAGACCTTGTCTCTTCTCAGGAGAGAAAAGCAGACAAACAGAGAAGGTGTGAGCAGGAGAAGAGGCGTGCACACATTCGAGGGCGCAGCCGCAGCGGGGAGGGAAACACGGCGGGGCCACAGTCAGCAGCTGTGTGTGTCTGTGTGTGTGTGTACTGGTGGGGCGCCGGGTAACCGGCGGTGCAGACACGCATCACCGCAGCGTCGCTTCCAACGCTACCGTAACCTCCTGGTCACTGCCGCCACGCCGCAGCAGCACTCACCCGGCAGCGGGGGCGGAGACACGCCGCATGCACAGGCCGGACAGCAGCAGCAGCAGCACAGCTACCTGTGAAGAGCAACAGCAGCATCAGCGACCGTGGTGTCGATAGTGGTTATGTTTTTATTCGCCCCTTTCGTGAATTATTTTTGTCTTGGCTCTAATCCTTTCAATGCAACGCCAACATAAAGAAATACCTCCGTTCTCTCCCGTCTGGGAGAATAAAAACAGAGTATTAGTAATAGATGGCTGAACTAGGCTTTTATCATGCGCACTTTGCCCTTTTGGGGGCTCTTTCCGCTAGCTAGTGTGGTGGAAGGCTATTAGAAGTAGGTTGCAATGAGCAAAGCGGGAGAAGCACGTCGTGGAAACCACAGATAATGGGGCACAGGCACGAGTACGCACGCATGCATGCATGCGGACAGAGGCCCGCACGTGCAGCAGGATCCACATGATAAATTGTTGTTTGTGTTGTTCCCCTCACAGGAGAAACATCAATAGAATCGCTACCAATGTGTTGTTGTCGTTGTTGTCCTTGCTGGTGCTCGTGTGTGCAGTGCGCCTCACATCTCTTGCGGGTGGTGCGTGGCGAACACATGGAGCGGCTCAAAGTCCTCGATGAGTGGGTTGAAGCCGCTCCGCGTCGTGAAGAGTGCCGTCGTGTCGCCACCGAATGTTTTCCAGAACTGAGGGTGTGTGAGGCTCGACACCTCCTTGTTCATCCCGCATATGTTGCGATACACCACAGTGAGGTGTTCAAAATCTGTGGGGAAGCATATATCGATCATGCCGGCATTGCCCTGCAGTGAGTCGGCGGGGCGGCGTAGGTACAAGTCCTTCGCGATGCGTACCTTGCTCTGGCACACCGGTCCATTGACACCTGGCAGTGCCTGCCGTACGTGAGCCCAGTCCACGAGGAAGAGATGGTGGCGCGGGAAGAACGTGGCACACGTCTCGAGGAATAGCATGGCGACAGTGGGCAACCATAGCGTGCGGAACGGGCTGTGCATCCACAGCACCTTTGTAATGATGACGCGCAGCGGGTCGTACATGTTTGGCTCGATGCTGGTGAAGGGCGGCGGGTCGATGTTGTCTCGTCCGCCAGTGAGGCAGAGCACCTTGAGGCTATGGAAGGATTCCTCTTGCAGCCAGCGCACGTAGCGGAGGTAGCGCAGGATTAGTGGGTCCTTTGCCGCCAAGTACCGCTCATGTGCGGTGGCGAGGTTGTCGTGCTGCTGGAAGCCAAACCAGTGTTCGTTGCACACGCCGTCACCGCTTAGCACGACGCAGTCGTGCGGCATGCCGGAGAGCAGCTCCACACCGAGCACGACACACCGCCGACGCTCCACATGCCGCCAGTTGAGGATCGAGATGTTGTGGATCTTCACGTGGTGGTAGTGGGTGATGAGGCGGTTGCGCAG